TTCGTATACCTTATTTCTGTATATCTTTGTTCAGCTAGTATTTTAATAAAGACCGATTGAAACAGGCGTATACAATATTTAATAACAAGTAACTACTTGTTAATATATTATAGCCACCTACGTTCTAATATAAATGTTCTCATCAATTGATTGCTTAGTAATTATATAATGTATTTCTTAAATGTTACAAAAAAATATGAGACGCAAGTGTGACAAATTTAAAGTAAAATGTAAGCAACCAAAATAAGAAACCTTTTTTCGAATTTGAGAAAAAACTTTTTTAATCATGTAAAATAATTATTTTTAGTTACGAGAAAACTATATTCACTTACTGTATTCATATCACGGTAAATACATAGTCTGGCAAATTTATAATGGCAATAGATTTTGGTTAGGCTCTCCAATCATCTTTAGATCGAAGAAATTAACAAAAATAGTGAAATTCTCTAATTATTAAAATTAACAAAATTGAAGCTAAGTACCTTAATACTTTCGGTCATCGGAAGTTTTTAATAGGACGTTTTTAATACTACTTCGAAGATCAACATTCAGATTTTATGTCACTTGTTCTTTAGAGTGATTCTTGATTTTGAAACTTTCTTAATAAAACCAGATCTATTTCCACGCATTCATAACATTTCCTTTTTGCAGTTTCTGGCCATAAAAAACCGTCCTTCATTTTTCCAAATACGTGTCCATTTCCAACAGATGCTTTGCAACCTTCAATCTTCTCCGTTTATTGCTGTTTATACAGCCACTTGGTTGTAAAACCACTTTATAAATTAATACATTTATAAAACGAAAAAAGTTTATCTAAATACAAGTGTCTACGTATACATACTTTAGCGACTGGATTCAGAACTGTTTTACTGTATAAGGAACGTAACCTAGATAATACTTTGAATAACAGTTCAGGAGGCAAAATAATGAATAAAATACATACTTTTACTTGTTCGTTCAAATTTTTTATCCTTGGACGACAGCTGTTAGCAAAAAATCAGAGTTATCACGTTGTTAAGGTCATTCGCAACATTTGCCAGTGATCCATATCTATTTACAAGTCATATAAAAGTATAGCCTTTTAAAATATTTTATTTGCACTAAGATTAATTTTCATTTTCTGCTGTTATATGTTTTCAAAGGTGATTTAGATGTTTTAATTAGCAATCTTCCATACAAATAACACGATTTGGCTTAAAGGAATATTAATTTCAAAACCTTCTCAATTAATACATGCTCTAAAGACTACAAGTATCCTTCTCATAACTATCAGAACTAATGAGTCTTATAACAAGTACATTATCACTACGACACAGATTTTGACAAATTACTTCGATTGCCAACGATAATTATTTATCTTTTTAATTAAGTAGGATGCTTTATATTCTTATCTAAAATAACACTATACTATTTATAATTTATTTTACTTAATGTTTAACATACTAAAACAATTGTAATTCAGTAGTACTGTAGATGATATTTGATTATTTTATAAAAAGTACGGCTTTGTATACGTATTTTAAATAATATCAATTTGGACAATTTGATAGGTATATAAAAAACATTTTTTTTAATGTAACACGTTTAAACTAAAAACTAATGTTAATAAATGTGTAGCATAATGTACGTGTTGTGGTATGTTTGCCATACGCCACAACTAAAATGCAGTCTTTTACAATCATCGATTTTTAACTGTTGAATTGTTTATTTCTGTTTTAGTTTTAACTTGTTAATGGATGCTGAGTGCACAGTTACAGGTTTAAATCACTTAACTATAGATTGATTGGATCAAAACCGTGTTGACGACACGGATTTCAAAAGAGTGTTCAGTTATAAACGTCTACTCCGTTTTCCTTGAACATTTATCTTAAAATAACGATCAGAGCCAAATTTATGTAAACCCTATACTGGGTGTTTTTTTACGCAACTCAAATTACAAGTATCGAAAAATACTGTTTAAAGACACTAGTTCATAAGTTGGTAGCTCTAAAATATTATAATAACAGTTAGATGCAGATGAATTAAAATAAAATTGATGTCAATTTTTCTTTAGGTAATATACTTTTATTTCATTAGCTCGTTCATTTCAGCTATATAGACAAACGGTAAGATAAACTCGACACAAAAAGCAATAGAAAGCGATATTCCGTGAACGAAGCAAAAGTTGGTCCAGGTATTTATGCAGATGACATCTCGTTTCAGTGGTCGATTTATCACGTAGCACGACGATCCATTTTACCTGACGCCACGTGATTTATTCTACTTCTTACATCCGGTTGGAAATTTGATTCTAACCATTCTTGACTGTGAAAAAGATGCGGTTACATGTGGAACTTTGTCACTAATGGTTTACATCATTTGTATGTTTACAACGCACCACCTTAACTCTTTCATTTATAATGTTTGAAAATTCAATAAATATTTAACTCATACAATTAAAAACTATAAAACAGTTACCTTATCAGGCAAATAAACGGTAACACGTAAAATGACCTTGTAATACATAGGATCGTTTAAGCCAACCTCGGTAAAACATGGTCTAAATTCAATTAATTATATGATCAGTGAAGTTAAACGATATACAGAAACTATATTACTTCCCCTTACACTAACGATAATACTTAAAAAACTAGCACTGTAAGAACACAAAAAGGAACTTTCGTGTCTCATTCAGAAGGGACGGCAAAGGCATTTTCCGCGTTTCTCTTAAAATATTTCTCTCCGCAAACTGACGTTTTGAGTGGTGCCCGCTCTCCCTTCAACCTATTTCATAAAGTAATGGAAAACCGATGTTATTAATCATCGAAATGGTTCTAAATTCTCGCCCTCACGCTCCGCTGAACCACGTCGGAACTGTCATACGACGCCGAACCTCTCTGCCCTACCTGGCACTGTGTTACATTATAGACCACGTCCTAACTCACCAACGGAAATTGAATTGGACGAGTTTAACATATTGACAAGTTTTGACTAATCTTTAATCAGATGGTGAAGCGAATGTATTGAAGGCGTCGAAGTTGTGGATAGTTTTGGAGCAATAGAGCTTTACTGGGACTTATTTTATTTACATAAATGTGGCACTGTTATGTCTTAGTACTCATTAATTTGTAAAGGGCTCGTTCAATATATATTAAAGATTGTCAAAAAATATTACAATTTTATATCTTTTTAGGATATTCTGAATGGATTACGATGTATCAAAAATAGAAACAATAATTATGAAAGTTAAAAAATGATAGAATATGTTCCAAGAACCAACATGCATAGTATCTCGTAGAAAGAAATTGCAAAATCTATCTTAGCGGAGCATTAAAGGAGTTTTATTTTAACATATCTATACGAACTAAAGCACAACGCCATCGTATATAATATTTAGCTCGTTAGTACGAACCTCGGTAAAACAAATTCCTTAATAAGAATTTTTTTAATCCCCCTGAAACTTTCATAAAAGTCAATGCTAAAAACCCCTCTATACAACGTAGTAATTAGGTTAAAACCTCCAAAAGACGAATTTGATTGTGACATGGGCTAGGACTGATTTACCTCTATACAACACTTATTCTTAGAACATAACCTCTACAAGACGAATGCGACCTCTATAAGACGAATTTCTCATTATCCTAACCTCCATAGTACGTAGTTTTCAAAACAAACAGAAGCTTGTCTCAACTTAAAAGCCCCGCCCACCCCTCTTCCATCCTCAGTCAATGTTTGGCACATGCCTGGGCAGACATTTAGTAACACTTCCGGCTGCGTTTTCCCCTTGTTTTAGAGTTTTGCGTATCTTAAGAGTTCAGTAATGGCGGGAAATAACTTATAAACGGTGCTAACAGTAGAATTTAAGCTTAAAATACAATAAAGGTAATACAAGGTAAAACACTTAATGTGTCTACTATTGATTTCAGACGAACATTGGTCCCACAATAATTAAATAAGAATTTTTTCTACTAAACCAACACCAAGGAATAACTTGAAATACTTTTAAATGTTTTTCGAATACAGGATGTACAATGACCAGAGGTTTACTAGTTCAAATCGCATTGTAGTTCCGTTGGTGTCTCTTAGGACATTGAGACACATTATGTATGGCAATAATAAACAAGCATTTTATATGGGGTAAAATGTTTTCAGTTGATAACTTGAGAAGTTAAATCGTTTCAAGGTTTACATTTAAAGTAGCTTGCAATTGCCATACTTTTAAATTGATATGCAGTTTGACATATGGTCTTATTTAACATTTTTGAGTTTAACTATATATATTTAACAAAAAGATTTGTTTAGATTTTGTCGTTTTTGTGTATAGTTTTAATTCTACATTTCAATTAAAGCCATAGAAAACATACTACTATTACATTTTGAACATAAATATTCGCCATTTTAAAACTCGATATCTGATTCGAAATGTCTGTATTAACGAGAGGTTTGTAATGTTATCATTATGATATATTATGTTTATATTTGATAACTGTGATATTTTAACTAGTTGGTTTGGATTTTAAATTTATCATTGCATGTCCAACTGTTTGTCTGAAATCAATAAAAGACATATTACAGGGTTCACACGTTATTTAGGCTGTAATTTACAAAAATAAGGTACATTCAGATTATGCGTCAGCTCATCCGACTTTAGCAGTCCATAAACTGAAATTATTGTGATCATAAGAACAGAAGAAAACAGGAATTGTGTTTTAAAAGCACGAATAGCAAATAAAGAAGATAATGGCTCTCTGGCGAAGTAAATCTGTGTAATGCATTTCATTTTGTCCTCAAACAAATTCCTTCATTTTATGGTCCACTGTATCACTTAAGAGAAAAGGATTAGCTTTTATTACGTTTCACTGCTCATAAAGGTATACTGTATTTCGAACTCTGAATAGCTTTATGAGTTTTTAAAACCCATTAACAGATGAAAAGAGTTTCAGAATTATTGCGTTGAAGTTTATTATTAATTGCATTTTTTCCGATATAGCTTTTGAAAACGTACATGGATATTGACTCACCTGTTTGAGTGCTGGAGTCGAAGAAGGTGCTGGTGGTCTCCACTGTCATGGTAGCGAGTGTTCCGTCAGTGATCTGCGCACTCGAGTCTCTCCTTCCTCTGTATCTGCAGCAGTCGTCACTCTGTGAACTCTGCCTTCTGAAGTTTCGACACCGAATCATCTCCTCGGTAGTAGACTGTCTGCGGAACCCTCTAGCGATGAGGATCTCCTCGGTCGTGGATTGTCTTCGAATCGCAGGCCTCTCGTAAGACACGGGGGGAGGAGCGGCCGGCTTGTTGGAAGGGGAGGGATCTCTAGAGGAACACGTCGAGGAGGAGTCAGGGGATCTCGGAGAATGGGAACCTCTACGATTCCCAGCTATTGAGGTAGATTGCCTTCTAAGTCTACCTCTCCTGTTCCTTCCCACCGGGGAGACGTCACGATCCCCTGTCCTGTCCGGGGACAGGTGGGATCGGGAATCTCGTCTGCCAGACCTGGAGTAGCTGGCGGAGTCCGGGGAGAGAGAGTCTCTTCTGGCTTTCCTAGAGGTACTGTCCTCAGGGTCGGGAGAGAGGGCGGTGGGCTGTGACCCTCGGCGTCCCCACACGCCTGGGGGCAGGCAACTCTCATCTATAGCGGTGGACTGTCTAGGGAGTCTGAACTTGTTAGGGGAGGGTTCCTTGTTGACCGGTCGTCGCTCGGGGGAGCGGTCGTGGCCAGCCCTGGAGTCTCTTCTCCGTGACTCCTTCAGGTAAACCTGTAGAACAAACAGAATATTAACTTAAGGGAATGAATTAGCAATAATTAACTAAATGTAATTAGCCAACGATAAGCAAGTAACCTATACGAGATCTCAACCACGTATATAATTCAATTCTTAGTATTATACATTTGATTTTTATTATTTTTTTTTTACTTATAGTTTTTCTAATTGGTTGGTTAGAGTTTACACTGACAAAATAGAAACACCTACAAATGTGAACCAATACAACATAATTCTACCCCTTATTCACAAGCATTTAAATATGGAGAAAGAATCCACAATAATTTTGTTTATGTTATAATCAAAAATGTTAGTGTTTCGTCTTAAATTTAGTTTAAAGTGGGAGATTTTGTGGTATTATTACATCCGTAAGTACTGCTATTGCTTTTTCTTACTCGAATAAGTTTATTTATTTCATATTTTATTGTGTTTTAACAATTATTGATTACCCAGTTTATTTGATTTATTTTTAGAGATTTATTACTAAGGGGGATTATCACAATGTAAGATCCCATTGTTCAACCATCAAACGAAATAAAGTAAGCATAGGACGATGCAATCGCATAATTACTTTAATGAGATTTGAACGCCAACGTTGAATGAAGAAAGTAAACTTGCGAGATAATTTTTCCTACGCATAACCTTATATTACACCGCTTTCTAATATTCAGAGCCATGAGCGAGATTCAGCTCTTTAATATTACTACAGGAAGCTTACAAGCGTGTCAAATAAGGTTAAGTTATCTATTTTTAAATTAGCTGGAATAAATTCTTTAGTAATATAATACTGACATACTGTAAGGTAGCCCAGAGGCTTATATTTTTTCGTTAGAATCTTTAAAAAAATTATGTCGTATGTATTACAAAATACCAAAACTTATTCGAGTATATGGGCCTAATAACGCTTCAATGTCATTCTACATATTATTGATACATGTCACAGTAGAAACCCAACCCTTTATATTCCCGTGGTCTATCAACCGTTATGTTCAATTATTATTATTATTAACATTATTGTATCTAAATTTAAAAAAAGTTTTTAAATAAAATAATTATATGAATGAAAACATCTTAACACCTCGCCTTTTAAAGTTAACAACAACAATAACGACAATAAGGAAAAGAAAAACCAAAATATTTAGCCATTGTTATTTGAGTCTATTCTAAAGCAGCGTACAACGACAACTAATAACGTTAATCTAACTAACTCGACTCCAAAGTTGGTAAGCCTGATTGAAAACTAATCCAGTAATCCATTTAGTAAATTCACCAAACAGTCTGTCCATTTGTATAATCACGATTGAAATTTGTTCTGGAAACCAGTCTACAGTGAAAACGTCCAGTGTTAACCATGAAATGTTGATTAAAACTTTGGTTTTGAATGAAATAGAAAACTATTAAACCAAACCATTACATTATTAAACTTTTTAAATCATCTAAAATATTTACCAACCTATAAAGTAATACATTTTATTATTACATGCATAATACATATACCAAAAAATCCATTTAAAAGAGGTCTACGTCTCCTCTCTTAAGTCATGTAATTCTAGGAAACAGTTGTTTATAGACGACTATATAACATTTTAAATAAAAACACGAATACTAATAAAAATAAACCACATTTATATATAAATTACGACTTTGAATGTTTACACAGTTTATCAAAGACACAATTACATTGAAACCAAGTAATAGCATATATCGAACTGAGTCCTTGACATTTGTTCAAAATTGATATTTGATGCAGATTCAATGTTATTGGTAAAACGAATTCGCCTCGAGGCTGGAGCTTCTTTTAGGGAATGATTTTAACGAGAGTAAAAATAGAAATATCAAAGTTTACCGACCTTCTTGTTTTGTATTGATCTTAATTAACACACCACTCGACTTGCTTTTAAATCAAAATTAACTTCCTTCTAAAGAATCTTTATTATAAAGCTATTATAAGAAGTGTGTTTAGTGACCTATTTTTGGATTGAGTCATGCGGGGCCTTAGGCTGGGTGGCTCCACATTCTAGGTCGGTCTAGCAGATTGAAAACTAATCCACTAATCCCTTTAAGTAATCCAGAGGGTAACGGCGTCTAAATTCATCGACCTAACTAAACCTTATTATCGTAACGTGTATTAAAACTGGATATTAACACAGTTTAAAAAATAAATAAAAAAACTGCTCATGGTAAATTAAGTTTGGCGTATGTACTTGTTTCAACTAGACAAGTATCAGGTTTATAGTTATAGGCCTATTTTTATGGAATATAATACAATTTTGCAAACCGATTTAAAATTGCTCATTCCAATTGAGGATTAAACTATAAATTAGGATGGTCAACATGTTGAATCATAACTATTTTAATTGTATAAGAGAATGATTTTCATTAAGTTATATTAAATTAACATCAGTAGCTGGATAACTTAAATATCCATCATCCTATAGCTATGTAAAGGTGTTTACATGAAAGAATGGGTATTAAAATTGTTCTGACTAAAGGCAATATTAATGGTTATTTTATTAAAACGTTTTTATTAGGTCGCTTTCTTGTCTGCTACAAATTTTGCAACCGATGTTATACTAACTTCCCGATGAGCTAGGGACTTGAAACTTGGAACATATCTCACAAATGGAAGACAATGCAATATTATACAATTTAATTTTCATATTTCCCTTGGGCTACGCCCCATGGGCTTGTTTTTATTAAATCGATTTCTTGCAAATTTTGATACTTCCCGATGAGCTAGAGACTTGAAATTTGAAACATAGCTCACAAATGGATGACATTGCAATATCATATCATTTAATTTTCATATTTCCTTTCGGGCTACGCCCCATGGGCTTGTTTTTATTAGCTCGCTTTCCTACAAATTTTGATATCAATTTTAAACTATGTTCCCGATAAGCTAGACACTTGAAATTTGAAACATAGCTCACAAATGCATGACAATGCAATATTATATCATTTAATTTTCATATTTCCCTTGGGCTACGCCCCATGGGCTTCCAAATTTTTCATGTTTACATTTTGAAAGGATGTAAATATATCAACTAATTTAAGTCAGCTGTAAATACTTAAATTTGACAGTTCGAAGAGCAGAGGTTAAAAGGTACAGGTTATGCTCCCAAGAGATTCTTTATACAAACAAACATTTCAAAATAAAGATAAACAATCTGATTGCAGGTATCAAGGTGTTTGTAAATAATATCAATTTTTGTTTATTTAGTATTCTATAAAGTAAACAATAAATATTTCGAGTGAATGCATTGCAGAGAAATTCCATAACAAACTATAGTTAAATTATTATATATTGTGAGTTTTCGGATTAACGAACTGTAAACATGTAATAATATCAATTATTTGTGAATATTGCATGATAACTCATATTATGGTACTATAGAAATAGATTTAGGCTAACATGCACACACATTAAAACTAAAAAGTATAAAATAATTTATAAATAAAAAACTTTTTAAACAAAACGTTTTTAAACGCCCTAAAAAGTAGAAAATAATTTACAAATAATTTATAAATATGTTGAGAGAGTATAAATACTTGTACGATTTAAAACGAAAAACGTTGGGTGCATACAATTAATTGATAATAATACATTAGTTCAGTAGGTGAAGGTAATTGTAAACTATCTATTGCATGCACCCAACGTTTTTTGTTTTAAATCGTACAAGTATTTATACTCTCTCAACATATTTATAAATTATTTGTAAATTATTTTCTACTTTTTAGGGCGTTTAAAAACGTTTTGTTTAAAAAGTTTTTTATTTATAAATTATTAAAGAGATCAACAGCATTTAATTATGGAATTGAGAATATCTGACCTGTGTGGTAGAGTCTCGTCTAGTGTTCAGCAGTGGGTGGGGGGCTGGGGCGGGTGAGGTAGCAGTAGTGGTGGTAGTGGTAGCCGAGCTGGTGGCGGTGGCTGTCGTGGTGGATGGGATGACCGGAGGAGTGCCAGACCCGGGGGTGACGGCCGTGGTGGTGGTGGGTGGAGGCGCTGTAGGAGAGGCCGGCGCCGCAGAGGACACGGGCGTGGTCGGCCATCCTGGAGACGTAGGTGGGGGAGTGATGGAGGCAGTTAGAGATATTGTAGGAGGAGGTAACACTCCAGTGCCCATGTCGGTGGTGGAGGAGAGAGTGAGGACCACGGGGGCGCTGTCCGAGGCCGTAGAGGAGGTCGACGGTCTCTGGTCGTCTCTATAGTACTTTGCCGGTGGAGGCTCTATACTCGGCTTGGACTTTCTCCTCCCGTGGTGATGTCTATGCGTGTGTTGATGTTGTATCTTGGGTGTCTGCTGAGGCACGGCCCCCGCGTTGGAGTCCCTTCTCCCACTCTTTGCCGACTCCCCAGAGCCTCTCCTGGAACTTCCCGGTAACGCGTTCGAGTCTCTCCTACCGCCGCTGCGGTGCGACGCGTCAGAACTTCGTCGTCGCTCCGTGGACGCCACTATCACCGTGTCTCTCGTGTCCTTGCTCTTCCAGATACGTGCGATATCGGCGGCGATCGTACTACCCGACTCGCGACGCGACTTGGTGGACGCCGACTTCACTCCAGAGTCCGCGGACGATTCGCGGCGTTTCCGGTACGAGCCTGAGTCTGCGGGCCTGGACCACGGCAGGGACCGTGCGAGGTCGGCCAGCGTCTCGCGGCGCACTAGGGGTTTGCTACCGCGCGTTTTCGCCGGATGTCCGCTCCACTCGCGGAGTATATCGGTGAGCTGTGCCAGAGAGGAGCGTCGACGCCTCCCTGACACGGGGGGTGACGTCTCTTGGGTCTCTGTAGGAGGAGAGATGCTGGTGATCTGCGCCGAGGAGTCGCGACGTCCGGCGCCTAGACGACTCCTCAGAGTGGACTCCTCTACCTGCTCTCTCACCATGTCGTCCCAGCCATTGCCGCCCTGCCACACCAGCCCCACCTGGTGACTGAGGATCGGCAAGTTGCAGACGAAACAGATGGCTGTCATTGTCCTGCAACAACAGTGTTCTGTTACAAACAAGTTCATAGTCTGCGATTCCCAATCTCATCTATGGTTCAGGAAATACCACCGTCGCCGGCTTGAATGTCCAGACTAAACAACCAACACAGACTAACTGATAATGCTGTTCGATATGGAGTGTCAGAGTGACTGTTTGGATTTTAACTGATAATTATTTTTTTGGGATTCACATGGCAGACTTTAGTCCACGGTAGAAACCCGTTAAAGAAAAGTTTGTGAATATGTGATTTCACAATCTAATGACGGTAAAATTAACATAAACACAACTGTACGCAGACCTAATAGACCTACGCAGTGGTAGTGCAATATAAATAATGCAATATTTGTTGGTTGTCATGGTGTCAAAGAATATTTTAAGAATAATACCATTGATAGATCAACTTACATTAAACAAACATTAGTAGTCATCCGTTTACTAACAATAATGTCTCGCCTCTCGCAGCATAGAGAGGCAAAGGATTTAGTTTTCTCTGCAAATAGGTTTACACAATTAGATAAAATCGTCTTCACCCTCTTATAAGAAGAATAACGCAATGCATGTTTAACATGCATGTTATACATATTATAAATCATTCAAAAACGGTGTTTGGTGAGTAAGATTTATTTAGTTTTCTAAATGTATAATGTCTGCAATTGATAACTGATTGATACTGATCTGAGAACTGTTGTAAACTCCCGTAAAAAAATCAATTATCGTTTTTATTTCTGAACTTTCCATTTATTTTAAACATTGTTAATTCAAGTGTGTTCAATCATGTAATATCATATATGATCAAATTATTAGTTAATGTACTCGGTAGGCCTAATGTAATTAATAAAGGTACGGTAATTAATAAAAGGTGATTAACATAGTTGAAAAACAGATTGGTGCTCCCTTTTTCGTAATGGTTGTCACTTTAAAATTACCTTTTAAATTGCAATCAACTATACCAATAGACATAGAAATTCTAATTAGTAAATTTTTGGCACGTACTTAATACCTTACGAACACCATTATTTCATTATTGCTTTAATTTAAATAAAAAAAATTATCTGTTTATAAGACTGCAGGGCAAATAAATCAAAGCCATGATAATCTAAAGGTAATTATAAAGACGGAATGGTGGTGCTGACACAATACGGTTTCCCGCCAAAAGCGGCCTCGTTCCCGGGTGAAGAGTAATTTTACAATCACGAACTCACCCCTTCAATCTTGCCAACAAAGGAGGCTTTCACCAAACCATAACGTCTTTCATCTTTAGAATCGTACGTTCATTTGTCAGGGTCTTAGAACATTCCTGAGTTACGTTATTGAAACATAAGTTAAGGAAACATGTTTTCAGCAAACGTTCATGGCCAAGCAATTCACGACTTTCACGAAAAAATACAAATATTGACAAGTAATTATATGTTATCAAGCCACACTTGTGTTATGAGTACTTTGATTTCATCTCCACAGTCAACGATGAATTTAATTGACAAAAAGTGTTACTAGGAAGAAAGCTTTTGCGTCTAATTCGTACAGTCCAAACAGCAAAATAGTCATATTGGCAAGTGAAAAGACGAATAGTGAATAGCACATAAGGTAAATCCTACTAATATTATAAGTGAGCAAGTTTGGATGTATGGAAGGATGAATGGATGGATGTATGTTTGTGACAAGTAAAAATACTTGTCGGATTGGGCTGAAATTTGGTGTAATGATAGCTCGCATTCCCAATTAACTTATAGACGAATTCTTATCTCAAAATTCTTTCGGGCTCCACCCCAGTGGATCTGGAGTTCCCCTTATGAGTATTCATATTTAAAAGGAGTAAAAGAATTTTTCAGCTGTTTCAACTACAAAAGTTGATATTAATTAGCATTAAAAAGGTTTGAAAACAGGGTGCAGCACTATAATTTTTTTTGCATTTATTTTTTAGCTGTGAAAACTAATAATTTCACTTTTTTATTGTTTAGGTGCAAAGGTAGAACATTATGGCTATGGTAGATGTGCTATACTATGGCATAAAATTAAAAGAACAACATTTTCTTAAACCGTGTCCTCTCCCATTGCAAACACAAAGCACGAGTATAACTGCAATAAGCATTTTATACGCCAACCCCGTACGAAGAACGGGTACTCTGCTAGTTATGTATAATTTAATATATTTGTACTATAAATTCCATGTTGGTAACTACACAAACTTGTTATACGAAATATTTGAAAGAAGAATAAACAAATGTCAAAAAATAATTGGTATGTTGTTTACTACAAAACGAACCTTCAGAAACACATGCTTACGATTAATTCAACATAGAACGTATTAATCTAACATTTAGATAGTTTGCTTAGGCGATACAACTTTAGGAAAATGCAAACTTCTATTTGTATGTGTATGAAATAAAAGCTACAATTGGTGTTCGCTGTATTTGTCGGTATTTTAAGGGCCCACAAAATATTTTACTAATAATAAAAAAATAGCCATTACTAAAAATACCCATATAATTCTATTTAAGTATCACGTAGGTATCAAATACTACATTAAGATTGCACAAAGAAGCTTTCATAGGGAATGAACCCATCGACGTCAAGAGAGTATTTAAGGGTCCAAATATGGTCATGTGACTCTTAACAACAATTAATTTAACTTGCCAAGCTTGTAAGTGTCGGTGGATAACCATTACTACTGATATTTCAAACTGATGAAAACATTTAACTATTCGGGTTTCAGATAAAACATTGTTATTAGCTACTAACAATAATAAAACATTCCCAAAATAAACGTTTAATATGTTTAATGGAAACTGAAAAATTACTTTAATTATCATTTTAAGTAAATTGTACCTATTTCAATCTTGACGTTTTTGAAGCACATAATACTGCAATCAGTATAAAACATTAATAGTGTCATTGAATATATATTTGTACTCATTCTGATCCTCTTAAACACTGTTTACAGCATGCATACTTGTGACTAAGAATAGTGAAGAGATATTGCCTACGCTGTGCGAATATGTGCGATGACATTAGTGTGTGACTAAGTGATTTTACAGAAAATGCACTGAAACCTTATAATGCAAATCTTTATTAAGAGCTGCGTGGATTTATAAGTCTAAATACTATATAAACACTATAAATGAAGATTGTATCAGTTTTAACCCGAAGGGGTGTTAGCCATTTAAGTGATCACTGATCACTCCTCAAATTTAAATAAAATCCAATAAATAATTTTTGTGGATTGAATAATGCACAGTTTTTTTAATTGTATGATTTATTTTCATGATTCGTCATGATTCATTAACTTTAAATTACCATACGCAGCCTTTTAGAATATATGAATTACAAGTAGTTAAATACAAAAAAAAAACAAAAACAAATCACTAACAACATGACTCATAGCTTTATCAACCAAAACAATTAACAACGTAAGACGTATTGTAAGAAGGTCGTTTACAAGTATATAACGCTGAAGCAGATTAATTCATTTTAAGACATCTACGATGAAATAAAATTATTCTTGCTGCATTAAGGAAAATTATTTATTTTAGTGATTGAGTTGAAAAAGAAAAACAATAATAGGGAGAAAGATATTATGTACAATGCATCCGGTACTCAATTTGGGGAAATGGTGAATTTCTACCAGTTTTATTAGCATAATATACTTATTTTATTTCATTTAATAAAATACAAAATTTTTCGACCCGATATGTTGCTGAAGACTATGGTAACACGTACTCGAACACATTACATTTTAACCAATTGGTTAATACAATTAAGTAAATATTATTCTCTCCAAATAATTTATATAAAATCAAAGAAAATACCGTCATTTAAATGTTCTGCCCATTGTTGTAATTTAATTTAGATATTGAATCATCGAACATATAGTTGTTATTTATAACCGAATAACGTAGGCAAATGAGAATAGTTAGTACGCTTGGACATAGCTTATAAAAACAAATTTGTTAATTTTTCCATGGAGCTAATTAGAAACCGATTAAGTATCATCAGTTGTTCGTCATGTAATGCAATGTGTCGCTGTGAAAGTTACACTAATTTTCAATAAAAATGTGTTTGTAAGTAGCAAGCGCTAACTTTACTACTGTACACTTTTCGTATAACCTTTTGAATGCAGAAAGCGAATACGACACGACGCCATGCAGTTAGTTGTAAATGGACTTGACGAAACATGCATCTCAAAATACTCGAACGTCTACACTCTTAGCAGAGCTTTCAAATACCATGTACGACAAATCACTGAGTCAGATTCTAATTCTGTGCCAGATACTTCAACTTGAACATTGACACATGTACGAGAGAGTTGTGTAAGAGCTTAAGAGAGGCATGCAAAAGAAGTAGAATGGTCAATATGTGTTTAAATAGGATGCAAAATGATGGAAAGTTAAAAGTGAATAACTTTAATTGTAATACACAGCTTTAAAAGATTATCAATAATTTCAATCAGCCAATAAACTTTTTGAGTTAGGCTTATAAAAATTACAATGTAAAAAATGATAGTCACTTACTTTAGTTTTGATAAAATATTGGGTGAATTTAAATTTGCTCTAAATGGAATAGAGTAAAGGTTACTTTATGCATTGCAAAGAGTTTGTATTTTTATTGAATTAAGGAAATTTGAATTTTTTGTATGTATTTAAATGAATAGCTGAGCATGCAGAATTGAAAGCTCCCCAGAGAGTGCAGGTGCTTTGATAAAATAAGCGTGAAGATATCAGCCCGGTAAGTTTGGTACACCTGTAATGCCGGAGACGGGTCGTTGGATGCGACATTTCTCATTCTCAAGTCTTCAGCTTCAGATCTCCAATACAGCTGAAACAGGCATTTCAAAATGAATATCTCAAGTTTTAGTGATATTGCTCATTCCTGGTGATATGTTAAGTCTTGTGTATGGTTTTCGTGGGAAAGCGACACAGCAAATAGGAAGTGACTATTTTTCTTAGTAATTTGTGCAGAAAAAAAAACATAGAGATTATAAATTAATATTATGTATAGTCCTTGTGAATCCAAACAGACTTTAGATAAGGATCCTGAAAAAAAAACAGCGTATAAAAAAGTCTAAATATCTTTGGACAAAAATCAACGGAAGATGAATCAAGGTGGAATAAAGGTTCTAGCATATAAAATAATAGATTAAATTAAATACCAAGGCATAGATAAATTGCACATGTTTAATTGTACTACTGGAAATTTGATAATTAGAGATTATTAATTACGCTAGTATGATACAAATATGAGAGAAAATCCAATGGGTCAAGACCCTATGGTAAGACGAAAAACATGAGATTGTTGAAGACAAATAAGAATGAGACAGATCGTTTTTGAAATAACTTCTTGAGTTAAATTATACATAAAATAATAAAAATTTTGTCTTTAAATGGGTACCTAAGTTCGGCGTATCTTCAACAGTTGTTACACTTTGTCCCAAACACTTAAGGCCCCCGAGTAAGTATGTAAAGAGATTTTTTTTTATATTAGAAATAAAGAAAACCATTAAGCTCTACCGGCAATTGTAAAAGAGATAAATTTGTTAGAATTCAACATAGGCTACTTAATTTTCTTTTCTTCAATTAGTTCAATTAGTTAGTATGTCATACAAACTTAACGATATGCATATCTTTGGGGGCCATTTTGGAAAAAATGCAAATTATCATAAATTATTTGAATAAATGTATTTGCCATTGAAGTTTTGTTAAAAATCAGTGTAAAAAATAATTTTCAATCATGTTAAAAAGGTGCTTACCAGAAAACGTGTTTTGAAAGCAGTAAATTTTGTTTATTTATTTGTAAGAAGTAAAAAAAAAAAACGCTTTCTTTATTTGATACACTGGAATTGAGACAGAAATTAAATAACTAGGAAACATAATTGCATCCTACACGTTATACACTAATTATACACTATTTATGCAAGATAGATTGACATACGGTAATATTAAGTAAAAATGATTAAGTTGACACTAGTGTATACTTTCAATCACCTAAACTGTATATAAAATGCATAATGCATATGAAAATGAAGAAGATTGCTACATATATAATCGGCTAATTTATAATTTAAAAACTCTTTAACAATTAGGATGGTTTTTAAACAGCGTAAACTAATTTTTGACGCATTTACATTCGTGGGTTGACACAGTTTATAGGACGTGAAATCCAAGCCAAAGTCTGAACAACATTTCCGGCCATCAAAAACATCTGTCACAGTCGGTAAGTCGACATCTCTGGAATGTGGTTTAGCTTATTGCCTGTCTTCATTCTTCACGTTTATGAAATTTATCTTTGTTTTGTGATTTTTCACAAGAATTTTACTTTGAAGCCGATTTAAAATATCCACACGAGATTTTATTAAGGATTTGGCCCTAATTATAGGATATTTATTTCATAATGTAAATTTTTTGAGTTTCAAAGAACGTAATTTTACGTTTTAATTATAAATGTTGCGATGAAATATAAAATTTTTATTTTAGAATTATTATCGTTTTTATCCAGCCTACCCTTATAACAATACCAGTTTTCCTTACTTAAAGCTATGTTTCAGATTCTGAAAAATAAAAGTCAATTAAATATCTGGGATTCACAAAACCCTTACAAAAATGGTTTCAAATTTGAATTTCATAAGAGGGTTTTGAATTGGCTGATATGCAAGCGGTAATACATGCAACATACTTCCTTACTGTATAATTGATACATTTCAATCTGGTCTTGGCAATAAATTAATTCTCTGCTGTTATTAGCAGCCTTGAAATTAATATTTTTACCGATAATAAAAATAAATAGGCTCTAACCATTTTGTCAATTAATAGCCAGAATATTACTAATTTGAACGTATTCAGTGGTTTATTGCTAAATTTATTGCTAAAGTTTTGCTAAAGTTATTGCTAAATTATTTTTTTGCTAAAGCTTGTCAATACCCACATAATTCTATTTACTTTGTTTGCCATAATGTGAGAATAAACATGAAGGTAATGTCCACAAGAGCTTTATTTGAGGAAAATGTCAAGCCAATTACAACTATCAATTAAAGTTGGACAAAACAAATAACGAGATAATTACCGGACGGGATGCAGAAGCTAATTGAAAATGCAGAGAAGCATTTTCAATTAGCTAACAAATTGAGTTATTAGTAAAACTGACTGGTACATTGTATTACAAATCCATTGACCGTTAATCGATATACCGTCAACCTAAACCTAGGTTAGTGCTACAAACAAATTTTGCTTATTTAAGACAAGTTTGTAAATAAATAAGAAACATACGATTATGGCTAAATTATGAGTTAATTTAAATACATTTATTGGCCAGTATTTTCAGTTCATAAGTGTTTTGAAACAAATAACAAGCGTTTTAAATAACAAACGTAATATGATATCAACCAATACTAATAATAAATCTAATTATAATAATACGCCAAATTCAATAAACATTTCCGTAGAAGGCGAGTTAAGTTAAAATATGTTAGAATTTCATGTAAAGGTTTGAACAAATGTTGTTATATTTTTCATGTCCAGCTTGTTTATGTTGTTTTTACAACAACTATAATCCAAATTTAAAAATAAAATTAACCAATTATTACTGAGAAACACGATAACTAACATTTTCGTGAAGTAACAATAATGTAGCAAATTGAAACGCCAGGTGTGATGCACATACAAAAAATAGCCATTTATAAATATATAACACAAAAATTTTTATCTAAAATTAACACCCGTTTTTTTAAAGAGGCCATAAGGCTGATAGAGACTTAAGGCACAAATAAATATAAGATAGCATAATTTTGCATAGTAAAATATCCTCTATAGGAAAAGATATTTCCTTTTAAATACTGTCCTAAACAACACAATTAAAAATGTAATATTATTATACTACAAACGCAGTTATATAAACATGTGTGAGCTACGTTCTATATTGAAATCAAAGGGATAATAATAAAATTACATTACATGTTCAAAATATAGACACATATGATTAATGTAATGATTAAACACAAACAAAAACGAGTAAATAAATTAATATTTACTAGCCCACTTAAGTAACAAAAGCAGTTAAACAAGCATAGATACGCTAATAGAGACACGACCCGGTGTAAGCGAGATTATATCGTGTTATCTTACAATAAGGGTTTTATTAAAATATCCCAGAGGCAAGAATACAGCTTGTAATGCTATCAGTAGGATTCCCTTTTCCGGGCTATTCCGGTGCTTTCACGCCTCGGCGGAACATTTCCGCCATCCCCCCTTCCAGCTAACAACCCCCCCTCCACCACAAAACACAACAGCTGACAAGAGACAATTTTAAATGTTGTTTACTAGGACTCTTATTGTTACTAAGTTTTGCTGTTTTACTTATTACCCAAATATCTGGTTTGAAGTACAAACAATAAATATGTTTCGTCATACTGCAGCAAAAACGACCGTTTTTAATACATGCGTTGTGGGCCTAAAATAGCATTTTTAGTCTCTAGGGAATAAAAATCAGCTGTTGTAAACAGTTGTAAATTTTGATTGTTGCAATCGTATTGATTGGTTTATTAGGTAAGGTTTTAGCCTATTGTTGTCAATTGCTCGACATATCGATGGTATAATGTAATACGACATGTATTACTGTAATACAATAGTAATAGACGAAATGATTACATATGCCATTATATTTGCCAGTTTTCCACTTACTAAACAGCTGCCTTATTTTCACTAGCAGAATTGAAAACAAGTAGTTTTAGGAGGTTATATTTAAATAAAAATTAATTTTCTGGCTTATTTTGTTAGTTAATGATGCAATATGACAAAAAATATAGTTTACCACACGGGCAAAGAAGTGTTTTATAACTCTCGCTCATTTTCCGACCTCGGCTTTGCCTTGATCGTAATACTCCACCTCGGTTCAAAAAGAGTCACTTTATGTCCTAGTGATGAAAAATACTATTTTGTTTTATTAGTATTTTTTATTTTCGTTTTATGACATTATTTTTTGAAGTTATTTTTATGGGAACGTCCAAATGCTGGTATTGTTACGATAGAATGTCAACCTTTTAATACGAGTGTTTATTGATAGCTCAACGACATAAGCCATCTAGGTCCAGAAACTGTGGCTTAGGATTAAACCAGCGGCCTTAAAACTTTAAGAAAATCAATATAACCACTCTTCAACCTACACAATGTAAACCACAATTTACTCTTAAATCCATCGTATGTTATGTGGTGTGTGACGAGGGGATCGTATATCCAATGTCTACAAAATTATGCACTACTAAACCTAAGCTTACTGTAAGAATTATATGACACCCTCATCGGGAACTTCCCCAAAATATCTGTCTAATGATTATTGTATCAAAATAGTTAACATGGCCACATCACATTACTTAAGGCGTACCAATTATATCTGCAATGGTTTGTAAAGGAGAATTAAAACTTTTAAAAACACTGTATTTATAATTGATTCTGAATAATATGCATACTCTTTTCTTGGCCAAATGCATGGTAGCCTAGTATAATTAATTAATGAGTGGAATTTGCTACTAAAATTCAACCATCCCCTTGTAGAGATTAGTAGTAAAATTACAATTACTATTAACCTTATTCAATGTATATATCTCGCACATCTTTTATTGATATTTAAACCAAACTGTTACAGGATTTATCATCGACAAAATATAGTCCAGAGTCATTTACTCATCTACAAATATATAGTTTAGTTCTCTCTATGAATAAACAAATCTTTTTTTTTAGACAAAAATAATAACAAATTTAACTTTTTCAATAACTTGGTAGTTGGAATGCAGCCGACAGTGCTTAGGAATTTCATTATTACACCTTGTC